TTATAATTCCTATCTATTATTGCTCTGTTTATTGGTGCAGGTCGTGCATTAACTTGGTGTTATTTTTCTTGGATGTTTCTTGGTTAAGATAACGTAGGAGACGCAGGGTTGTTCTGGTAATCCTGTGGTAATAAAAGTCGAGTAGAGACTAAGTCAATGGAAATAATCTTTAACAAACACTTTCCCCCTCCTTCTCCCCCCAAGGATACCACACACAGTGACGTGGAATTTATACTCCGATCAAAAGGAATTTTGGTGAAACAGTGAAAATGCACAAAATTAAAAAAATGAAGGAAGGAAGGAGAAGAATAAAGAGAAAGAAGGAAATCTTTTTTTTTTTTTTTCAAAAAAAAGTGACCAAACAGAGTAGAGCGCGAACAGTATACGGGTGCATAAAAACCAAAAATGGCAAATATGATTCTGAAAATAGCATCAAACGGTGCCAGTGATGGTTACAAACATAAATACCAAAGATTTTGTTTATTTTCTCTGGCCCTATGCCGTACATCCTAGCAACATTGTACTTTAATTGGACGGCAAAACTTACGTCTCTTAGCTTTCTCTTCTAGTCTCGTTTCTTATTGGAATGATACTTGTGGTAAACATTGATAAAATAAATCATATAAATACATTTTACTCCATATACTTATCATCCAGTCTTCCGTTTCGACACATAACTTACACTAAACTATCGGGAGATCAATTCCGTCTATTTTCCCTTTTTTTTAATGAGGTAAAATAAGAACAAGACAAAATGTCACAGCTTATCGGCCAGAAAAATTGACAGAAAAAAAGAAATTAGGGTTTAAATGCTTTTCTTCATCAGTCATGATTACCATCATCATAATTATTATCATCAACATCATATTATTACCATCCATATCAACAATGGCTATTTTCATCATCAATAGCTTCAATTTCATCATAATTATCTTTGACAAACAATCATCATTAGTATCATAAACAAGCAAGACATCATCATTAACATCAAGCATAAACACCATTAGTAACAGCATCATTTTCATCACCTTCACCACAACCACCACAACATTGTTAATCATCATCATCACCATCATCATCATCATCATCACCATCATCAAAGATATTACTGCAAAAACAAGCCGTAAACTAAATACTGATGGGTTCAACAAGATGCATTTCTTATGGTAATATATATATTTTTCCCAATGGTCAGTCCCGCTTGTACGAAAGGCGGATAGCGCTATCCAACGGATAAATTCTATTCATTGGATAGATAGATTTATTGGAAAACAGCATCAATTTATCCACTGGATAAGGACTTATCCGTCGGATAGCGATATCCACCCTTTGTACAACCGGGCCCAGGTGCAAAAATGTTTGTTGTCCACAGACACTAATTGAGTTTTAATTTTAGATTTCTTACGAATATTACCTCTGGACCTAGTGTTTGAACTATAAAAGTATTTATTCAAATTAAGGTTAATAGTATGATGCGTAAAAGATTATCGTAGTGGAGATAAAAATAGCACGAAGCTCGGCTATTCACTACTACAAAGTTCTTTTTTATATGATTTTTCTAAACAACAAATAGAATGAGATCTAAAATAATACGAGACGCTTTATTATGAACGATTATCTCAAGGCCAATACAAAACTACAAAAACGAGAAAAATATGAATAAGAAATTAATAATAGGAAGAACGAATGAAAATAGAACAAAAATGAAATGAAGACTGAAAGAAACCAAATGTAAAAAATAGATATTTAACAAATAGAATAGTGTTTTCCGTGCTCCGTTTAGTAATATAGCACGCAGGAACTGATGTAAGCACGGAAGAAGGGTAAGGAAAAGCACGAGCCGTTTGCAAGTGCTTTGAATTCTCACACTTCTTGAGTGCTTATGGCGCGTCCTAACTCCTTTATTACTGATCGGAGCTCGGAAAAAGCTTTTTTATTCGCTTTATTATATAGTTAGTAATTTTATTTCGGTATTGAATTTATTTACGTAAAAAGAAAGACGGTCGCAGGATCTTGCAGCATTTCGAGCGCGCGTATGGCGTCAGCTCTGTGCTCCGTTCACTAATATAGCACAGCTTTCGACCAATCAGCGCACGCGTACTATCTTTTAATATATAATAAAAAAATATATATAATGTATATTGAATCCCAAATGGTCATATTTTAGGACGTGTCAAAGCACTACGCGATATCAATTTGTCAAATCAATCAAAGTGTTACAGAAAATAATGGGCAATTCTACTTTACACACCAGACACCAGAACCACTCGTACTAACTAACAACTGACCATCCTTTAAAACAGTTATATATCTAGGGTTCTTGGTTACGTCACAAGTCTTTCCTACAAAACGACCATCCAATCTGAATTTTTGTACGCGGTTATTACCATAATCACACACCAGTAGATGATGGTCATTATCAATAGCCAGGCCCCATGGTCCATTTAGCTGACCATCAGCTCTGCCTTGACCACCAATCATCGATATTCTAGTCGGTACGTTACCTTTCTTCTCAAATACATGAATAACGTGATTATTATAATCACCGACGTAAAACAGTCCATCATGTGTTATCACATCAATTGGATCAAACGCGTCCTGTGTTGTCAAACCAAACTGATATTGATAGTCACCGTCTCTTGTGAAGACTTGAACACGATGATTATCGCTATCACACACAATGATGTTTCCATCGTCATCAACGTGTACTCCATATGGATTACAAAACTCTCCATCTCGGTTACCTCGGTTACCAAAGGTTTTTACCAATGTCCCTGTTGTAGTGTTCACTATACATATCCTATGATTACCATAGTCAGCTATGACTAAATCTGTATTATTCAGAAATGCTAAACCTTCAGGACCATACAACTGTCCCTGTGCACTACCTCGTCTACCATACGTCAGTAAGAGATCTCCATCAGTGGTGAATACATAGACACAGTCAGAAGAATCATTTGAAACAGCGATCCTGCTATTGTCTCTGTTTACTGCTATACCTCT